GGCTCTTTACTAAACGGATTCGGAGTAAAAAAATAAATAGTGAAACCGCGCGGATTATCCATAAGCCGTAATATGGTAAATCCTATAATATAACCGTAATTAATACTCAATAAGAATCAATAATAATGACTTTACACGAGAAAAAGCAAAATGTTGACTCGACCACAGATCGTCCGTACAAATCAGCATGAACGTGACCTTAACTTAAGCCCTCCTTTCTTGGACTTGCGGTCCGTAACCTTCTCATTGATTTATAGTTCATTTCAATAAGCACTTAGCACACTGTGCAGGATTCTTTATGAGGTACTCTGTTACGTTCCAGAAGTAGGTATTCCATAGTATTCTGGTCATGTGTCCGAATACGTGCCGAGTGTCAAAAAATTCTCCCTACTGAGAATCGTATTACCTTGTCCAGTTATGGACAGCATTAGACGATTCTGGAAAGATCATCCAATGTTTTTCATCAAACATGTTTTCGGTACCTGGGGAGGTTAGAGTTCCATTCTGTCATAATAGAAAATAACCTAAGCTGTTGATTTTGATCTGTAGATGTAGAGCGTTTTTGTAAATATATACTTTTTTATTATACCTGAATCACAATCTCCGTTTTAAACACTCAAATGCGTGCGAAAAAGGGCCTTTAAAACACACGTGCTTTAAAGTTGCTAAGTAACGATACTTCAAGTATGACTTTTGAAACTGTCATCTGGGATGAAATAAAAAATCCTCTTAGGTCGCTTTCTGTAAATGCAGAACATCTCTTTGGCTTTTGTACCTATCCTTTGGTTGAAGCTTTCACAAACGGTATGCTTCCAAATCTGTTCCACTTTTTAATCGCAGCATTGTTTTAAAGTTTTGAATGAATGCACCAAAATATAGAAGATTTAAATACTTGACATTTCCTTCATATATGCCAGCATTATGGATGCATTTAAGACTGTATTCGTAGGTAACTTCCTATTCGTCCATGGAAACAACTTTTCATATTCTTTATAATAGGCTTTACTGGATTTGGATTTTACACCTACCAACGTTTGTTTAGATTTTACAAGCGATTTAATGGACGATGTATTATCTTTTTCAACGGAAATCGTTTTATTTACAAAGATGATGATGATTATAAGCAAACGTCAAGTGACATTTCCATGGCAATCGTGAAATTTCGAACACCCAGCCCACTTAATTAGACATGTATTCGAGTATAACGTCAATATGACTTCATTGTATTTCCTATTTTTAAATTATACTGCAGGTATAATAAAAAATACTATAAGATACACGTGTATAATTGGTCTTTAAAACACTTGCAACGTTAAAGGCACTCCGCTTTGCGTCGTGCCCTTAAACTCGTTGCGCGTGCTTTAAAGACTTGATTATACACTTGTATCTTAATATACTATTCAAGGATGCACACAACGTACCTACTTATGTGCAATAGAAGATTGTTGGAGAACGACTTAGATTTGCTTCACCTTGCTGCTTCGAGTACAGTGTTTCGTCAGCTTCCTCTATGATAGGTTGCAACAAGACGGATCTTTTCATTGTTGTGCTGGTCTATACGTCCAGTGTGGCGAACCTTCATTTGTTGGGCAACATTTCTTGCATTAGGAGGGTAGGGGTGGTGGTGATCGAATACTTCCCGAATTGCCACTTTATGTGGGTGTGTGACCCGATACCGTCTTTAGAGAAAAAGTGAACTGCTGTATTTAAGCAAGGTGTGTGGCCTACTTCCAGGGAAATTTGTACCCACTATTTTGTCATAGTTAATCTAAAGGCTATCAACATTCTTCACCTTGGAATTTTGAGAATTTTTGTTTGCTATCTTTGAATCAAGGATGTATTCCATTTGACTTTCGTTGGTACTAGTTCCTAGCGAAGAGAAATACTTAAAAATCTCCTTCATCGGGGGTTCATTGGCTAGCACCACCATTAAAAAACGCTTCTATGTGTTGCTCCTGTTTGGTGAAGTTCTTATAGAAGCGGAATTGTTGCTTAGGCAGATTAGTCGGAAGTTTTGGAGTGATGCATGCGACCTGTTTGGGCAATTACGTTACGTCCGTCGTTACGTTTTGGGATGGACAAGCTATAACACCTAGGTAACGTACATTTCACAATACTTCTTTAGTCATACTTGACTCATACTACTTCTAGCTTGTTTTATCGTTAAAGTCGTCTTCAATCAGACTGTATAGCAAAGTAGTAAAATACCGACAAAATCGAAGTCTTACCTGTTGTTAGGGAAATTACCCAGTCAGGAGCATACGTTTCCCCACGACCGTTTGTCCGATCCATCATCGAGAGTACGTACATTAAAAGAGCATTTCTTTGCCAAAAACGGAAATCCATCCGTTATCGTGAGTACACTACAAGGATAAATAATTTCAATATTTCAACGTTATTGAAGATCCTCTTCCAGGATAAAGTTTTGAGTAAATTTATAGTGGCGTTTCAAATTAATCCTCATCACGAAAACTATATATTAAATTAATAAATAAAATAATGAGGGGTACTCGAAATAATAATTGATACAATTACCTAATGACTGACTAAATGATCCTGTCATTATATCTCAAATTAATTTATTTTAGACCTACAACCAGTCGTTGGAAACAGTTGATGACAGATAGTTGATCAAGACGATTCACCTAGGCGATACCATATTGCGGAGGATGCTCAGCAAAGTGTGTGATATCAACTGTTTCAAAAATGAAGAAGGAAAGTTGTGCGGAATTGTGTGTAGGTGGCCCGACAATTGACCAATTAAGGGGCCGCTTAAACTCTTCAGCTGCAAAAGGAAGCGTGTGGAGTATCCTCAGCTCAATGAACACCGGGCTGTTATTATGATAGGGACCAATGACGCTGCGAGGAGTTAGTTCCACGAAACGAAGTTTAGAAGAACGTTGAAGTGGCTGGTTAGGGACTTCAAGCGGGTGAAACCGTCCATAAGAATGGTGCTGTGTACAATTCCACCCAATAGAATTACAACCAGAAGTGGAAACAACGTTGTCGCCTATAACGAAGTGATTACAGATCTAGCTGAACAAAGGGGCCTAGTTCTTGCTGACCTAAACCGAATTTTCCATCAGCCGGGAATTCCTGTGTTTGAAACGGACGAACTCCATCCCAACGTCTTGGGGCTGCGCGCCATGGAACGCGAAACAAGACGTGTCGTAAAGGTTTAACCGGCCGGCGTTCCGCTGATAAAATACTGCCCTATTTTGTGGGGTGTTTTCCGAAAAACGACAGATAGAGGATTATAGGTGACCCCTTGGGGCACCACCGTACCCTAATCCTACGCGTGTAAAGTTCACTCAATTTTAATAAATTAATTTTGAATTGTAACTTGCATTATTCGTATACGACGCCATTGACCAAACGAAAGCGAATTTTTCGAACTGTGCTAGGGCCCTTTTCAAGAAACGACAGATTGGGGGTTATAGGTGACCCCTTGGGCCACCACCGCACCCTAATCCTCCGCGTGAAAAACTCACTCAATTTTAATCAATTGATTTTGAATTTTAACTTGAATTATTCGTATACGAGCCATTGACCAAACAAAAGCGAATTTTTCGAACAGTGGGGCACTTTTCAAAAAACGACAGATAGGGGATTATAGGTGAAACCTTGGCATACCACAACGCCCTAATACTCCGAGTGCAAAATTCACTCAATTTTTATAAATTAATTTTGAATAACTTGCATTATTCGTATATGACGCCATTGACCAAACGAAAGCGAATTTTTCGAACTGTGATAGGGCCCTTTTCCAGAAACGACAGATAGAGGGTTATAGGCGAACCCTTGGGCCAGCACCGCGCCCTAATCCTCCGCGTACAAAACTCGCTCAATTTTAATAAATAAATTTTGAATTTTAACTTGCATTATTCGTATAAGGTGCCATTGCCAAAACAAAAGCGAAATTTTCGAACAGTGGGACACTTTTCGAAAAACGACAGATAGAGGATTATAGGTGACTCCTTAGCCCACCACCGCCCCCTAATCCTCCGCGTGCAAAACTCGCTCAATTTTAATTAATAAATTTTGAATTTTAACTTGCATTATTCGTATATGGCGCCATGGACCAAACAAAAGCGAGTTTTTGGAACAGTGGGGCACTTTTTGAAAACGACAAATAGGGGATTATAGGTGATCCCTTGGGCCACCACCGCCTCCATAATCCTCCGCGTGCAAAACTTACTCAGATTTAATAAATTAATTTTGAATTGTAACTTGCATTATTCGTATACGGCGCCTTTGACCTAACAAAAGCGACATTTTCGAACTGTACTGGGGCACTTTTCGAAAAACAACAGATAGGCGGTTATAGGTGACGTCTCGGGCCACCACCGCACCCTAATCCTCCGCGTGAAAAACTCACTCAAATTTAATAAATTAATTTTGAAATTTAACTTGCATTAATTTTGAATACCTATACGGCACCATTGGCCAAAAAAGTCTAATTGTTCTTTCTGGGGTTTAAAAAAGAACCCTTAACCCTCTCTCAATTTAAATAAAACGTCATTTTGGTTGACACCCCACGTTGTCGCGCAATTTTCCAGCTTCGGGGGCGAATTTGTCGAGTTTTAAGGCTCTTTTCCAAAAAGGGGATGGAAATAGGTCCCGTCCCGGTGCCTTCACTTTCGAAGGCCGTTTATTTAAATTAAAAAAAACGAATGTAACTTCAGCCCTTTTCTAGTTATTTTTTGTTTTCCTATTTGCGTTGGTACTATCCCAAAAGCGAATGTTTTTGAAAAAAAGCGAAAATGACTTCAGGCTACAGGTAACTTATCCCATTCAATCAAAATTGTTAGTGTTCGCCGATACATTGCTTGGCAATTGAATGGACAAATCAAATTCCATTAATTCGTAATTGAAAAGACAACAAGATTAGCAACATTGTATTCAAATATCCGGAATACGTGCGTGGGAAAATAGGATAATATGTAATCATTTATTACAACTTTAATAACTAATTTTAAACTCATAATCATGGAATGCAAGTAAAAAACGATTAAGCTGCAGTAATTTATGCAAGTTGAAGTTTTAGGCGATCAAAGTGTTACATTATTTCCGCTTAAGTAGTGCAAAGTGTGTGTGCTAAGGTGAGTTTACGAATTTTCAGTCTTTTAATGTAAAATATAGTGCAATTTTTGAAACTTTTGGTTAAATTGTCCCTTTCCATTCATTTTTCAACATCGACATAATATTATGTCTTGTTTTTGGCTGGTCCTCAAATTCGTTGTTTCTTCAAACTCCTCTTAACTATATCTCCGTACTCCATGTATTCTTCTGTTGGTTCAAACTACCATCACCTTCCCTACACTTTCTTTCATTTCCTGGTAAGCCGCTCTCAAGTTTTTTTCAAGCTCCCCTCAGATTTCCCCTAATAAGGTTGTTTAAATTATACTGCAGCTTCCATCGTGATTCGGGGGTCTGGATTTTGAGGGAAGGGTGAGCTTACATCCACGCGCACATATGCCATCCCACGCTTGGGACACACTTGAACGGGGGAAGCGGCTCTCGGCTTGGCCCTGTTTGGCCAAGATTCCCCCAAAAACAGGAACAGTGCAATTTGGACTTGTGTTTCTTCTGGGCATCTGAAATTATTAGATTACCTACAGTGGAATTTGGCGACTGTTTCATGGCCATTTGCGCCAGCTTTGTCTTTGATCGATCAAGGAGTTACATTCAAGCACCAGCCTCGAGGTATGCAATGGCCGAGTGCCTGAAAGTCTATCGATATTTCCACCGAGGGCTTACCAGCACTGAACTTTACCAGCAACTTCGTTTGAGATACGCTTGAGAATTTTCCCAGTAGTTGGGTGATTTAGAAGTTCAATTTCTTTTGAGTAGATGCAGATGTTCTTGTACCATCTACTGCTTTGGATCCATCTGTGAAGGTTGACATGCATCTTCCACACGGAAAAGGAAACAGTTCACCCTCTATTTCTGTCACATGAACTTTAAAGAGTCATAAAAAGAAACGAGGCAAGAACTAGCATGCTCTTCTCCTCTCTTCCAGGACTTCACTCTTGCTTTCCCTTGTTCTTTCCACCTCTGCACATTCCCATAGCATGTTCTCTACATCCTCCTCTTTCTCTTCCCAAATTCCTGAATTTCCTTTATTTATATATTCGTATTTTCTACCCCCCCCCCCCTTCCCAACTCCTCGATTTCGAATTCTCGCTATTATCTTGATATTTTTTGTTCCCTCCCTATTCAGACACCTATTCCTTTATCAGTTCCTTGTAACTACTGTTTCCTCGTGGGCCCACCAACTATCTATCTCTTCCAGTATTTTTTCATTTACCGACCTTCCTCGTCCTCCCATGTATGTGATTTGTCCGTATCTCCCCCCGGATCCCGAACCTCTCTTGACGATAATTCCAGAGACACTCCTTCCTCTTTTTTGCCCTCTTTGTCTCGTGTTCCTCTTCCCATCTCTATCTTTACTCCCTGTTCTGGAATTTAAATCTCTCCCCAATATTAGCCCAACCTAATCCACCAATTCGTGTAATACATAATTATATACAATTGCTCACCCCCCTCTTTTTCTGAAGGCCATTGGTCCCCATTATCCTCTTCTCTTCCATTTCTCTTTGTAATCTTTCATTTAGTACCATTGCAGATTCCTTCGTGTTTCCCCTATAATTTTTCACATACTCTCTGTCGCATCTTTTGAGAATCGGCATTACTGCCACCCTTCTTCCACCATTTGGGTTAATCCCCTCCTTACATTCCTTGTTTACTAGATTCCTCATCTTTCCCTTGAACATATCTGTGCTAAAATCAAACCGCTGTCCCTTTTTTCAGTTGCTGCTCGATCTCCTCTTTTGTTATCACATCTCCGTCAACCCGTTCTCTTCCCATCTCTTCCATAGTCTCCTTTTATGCTGGTTTCCTTGTAGTACCTGGCTAAAATGTTGTTTCCATTCCTTTAGTTGTATTTCCCTCACACTTGTTCTACTTCTCTTTTTATTAGCGTATTTTTTAGGAATTAAAAAAAAGTACTATTGTTTGCGTTTTGTCCGTCCATCCGTCCGTACGCCCACCCGCCCGGACCCACTTCTACCGTTTTGAACTACTTCTAGGGGAATGGTCCTAGAGACAACCAATGGTCTCAGAGTTTGCATACGCATGTCTTTAGTGGTGCTAAGTTAAACTTTAGGAAAGAGGGGGAGGGAGTTAACAGATGTTCTACCCTTCATGGAGTTCTAATGATCGAAAAAAATGAATCGAAATAAATTGGTTTGTACAAACTATAACCTTCCCGTGCGATTCTTTTTCGAGATCTGTGAGCGACGGCGCCTGGGGGGGGGGGGGGTTAACATTAATTTTATATCTCATTGCGCTTTATCTGCACAAGGGTTGTGCACAATTTATGCTTGTTTCTTGTTTATCATCTTGTAAAAATCCTACTCTGTTTTTATTTTCACGATTTGCTCTTCGTATCTCCGTTTCTCCATTGTTTTTCTGTTTCTTATCTCATCCTTTTTTCTCCAACATTTCTCTATATCTATTCCTTTCTTCTGTACACTGTCTCCCCTCCCCTTCAGTTACTTATTTCCACGTTATTGCATTTTTAATACTCTTCTTTATATTACTCTACTCCTTCTCTGTACTCGTGCGGGCGTGGTCTTATGCGTGGTGCTCGGTGTGGTGGGTGCTGTGGTGGTTGCGGAGGCATCTCCTGTGATCGTTGTGCCAAAGTTCCCCGCAAGTTTGGCTCACTGATCCTTTAGGTGTGGTTGGAAACAGTGTTTGACTTCGGCTAACGTGGCTGCGCCCTCTGTGTACTTCTGGATCTTGTGGGCGAACTCGTGTCGGATGAAGTTCTGCGTCGATCCGGCGCGGCGTCTAGTAGGGCGACCAGTTCTTTGTCCTCACCGTTATGGTTGGAAAGCCTCCATCATTTGGTTGGCTGGATGCTCGGTCCGGCAACTGATCCGTTTCCCTGGTCCTGTTGTTGGTTAGCTAGGACGGAGCAGTCTCGGTGTTAGTGATTATGCGGGCAGTAGCGGCATTTCGGTGAGCGTTGTGGGTAGGTGGTGGATTCGACGATGGCTGGTCGACTCCGGCTCCTTACGTCCTCTTCGATCTCGGTGGCCAATTGTCTCGGGCATCGAATATCCGGATGTAGCAGATCGCGGACTAAGGGTAGGTGGCCGTGTGTCAAGATGTTTTTTAGGAAGTGCACCTTCATCTCGGTGTAGTCGGTGATGGACTCGACGGTGGCCCACCATTTCGCTGCGTCTCCGGTGAGATTTCTTGTAACTGCCTGAAAGAGGTTTTGTTCCCCTTGTGCGCTTAGTGCTTCCTGGATTTTTTTAAGTAACGGCTTTGGGTCGTCTAGGAGGTCTCCACTGTATGTCGGCTGGTCCTTTTGTTCGGGTAGCTGTTGATGCAGAGCCGTTATGATCGAAGTAATAGAGAGACAGATATTCACTTGATGATGCCCAGGTGCTACATTTTGTGATCTGCTTACAGTACTTTCATTTTAGTCCGTTGGTAGAGGAAAATCCGAATTAATGTATTAATTTCGTCGCGAAAACTGGAAAACGCATTGATATTTGCTATTCGCGTCTTGGTCAATATTTTGGGTCGTTAAAAAGCAGCAAAATCACCACTACAATAGAGAGGGACAAGATATTAACCCACGTATGAAATATGCAGTATGGCACAAGTGCATAGACTTTTTAACTTGTTTAAGCTATGATGTCTTTTTGTTTCTAGGATATGGTCCAACTTGCAGTTGCTGTTCTGGTAGTGGTGCTACTTCAGGTAGTGCCACATGTAACAAGTACTTGTGATTACTACGGTTTTTGGGGAACATCCGAAGCAATTTGTTCAAATTTGGAAGAAACCGATATTCACCAGTTAAGACAAGTTTATCAATTAAAAATCGCGGACTCTTCATTACCGAAACTTGAAAAGAACTCTCTTCCATCCAGCATCACACATCTGTCTCTCACCAACTGTAATATCCAAGAAATAAATTACGATACCTTTGAAGGCATGGAAAATCTCGAAGAACTAGACTTGCACTCCAACAGCATCGAAAGCATTGGGTTCTTGATGCATACACATCTTATTACGTTCTTAAATTTAAACTACAACAGTTTAAAGACGCTGGAATCGTTTTCATTCCTCACCACACAGAAGTTGCGACAACTCTATCTACAAAATTGTGAAATTACCAATGTAAAGGAAGATGCCTTCCTTAGTCTGCGAAACCTCCAGCACTTAGACCTGCGCAATAATCTCCTCAACAGGTTGGACATAAATGTATTCTCAGGGCTCACCAATTTGGAGACACTGGATTTAAGTCACAATCCACTGGCGTTGATCGATGAAAATCTGTTCAGAAACCTCGGCAGCCTTCGCAGCCTGCACTTGGAGAATAACTCACTTCAGGAGGTTAAGGGTTGTTTCAGTGACCTACACGCGTTAGAGTTCTTAGACTTATCTCAAAACAGCATCGGAAATATAAGTCGAAAAACGTTCGCGGGGCTTCGCAGACTGACTCACTTGTCGATGTGGTACTCGGCAGTTACCAGTATAGCCGCCGAAACTTTTCAGGCCATGAGTGAGTTAACTGTCCTAGACCTGGGTGGGAATCAATTAAAAGCTCTAATACAAAAGAGTTTTGCTGGTTTAATCAACTTGAAGGGCCTCCATCTTGCCGGCAACGCGATCGAGCACATCGACGCACTTGCCTTTCGTGATTTGGGGGAGTTGCGCTTCCTGGACTTGTCGTTCAATAACATTACATTTCTCTACTCGCGCACCTTTACCGGTTTAGTCAACGTGAACAAAATGAATTTGAGCAGCTCCAACATCGCAATGGTAGAACCTGGAGCCTTTCTCGGATTGGATCACTTGAAATATCTGGACCTGTCCGAAAATGCGATCGACGTTTTGGGAAAGGAAACATTTCAAGGCCTCGCCTCGCTTCTCGAACTGAACGCGTCCAATTCACAAGTTGGTGTGATTGAGGGAGGAGCGTTTAGTGAGTTGCGGTCGATGCAATCACTCGATCTGGCGAGCAACAATTTTAGCGAAATTCCCAGCGGATTTCTATGCGATCTCCCGCAACTGAAATCGGTCAACTTGGCGAAGAATCGAGTATCGCACGTGAAAGGGGGCGCATTCCTCAATCTTGAGGGGGTAAGTTTTGTGGACTTTAGAGGGAGCACTGTGGAGGTCATCGAAAGTTGGGCTTTTCAAAATTTAAGCTCGTACAGAAACTTTGATTTGTCACAGCTATCCATTGCAAGGGTGGAGTCTAACGCGTTCAGTGGAATTGAAGTTTTAGACAATTTGGATTTGAGTGGAAACTGTATTAAGACAATACAAGAGCACACGTTCCGGATTGGAAAGATGGGAAATCTGGATTTAGGCGAAAATGAGATTGAGGAGCTCAATCCAGGTACCTTTAGAGGTTTACATTTCGGACCACACAAACATCTCAGATTAAGCTACAATAAAATAGACCGTCTTAGACGTGGCCTCTTCTCTGGAATCCGAAACGTGTTGCACATTTACCTTCAAGTAAGTAATATTGATACAATTGAACCGGGAGCTTTTGATGATGTTGAAATGATGATGGGTGATGGTGAAGGAATGAATAGTATTAATTTGCAACTTAACGCGCTAAAGTCTTTACGTCCCTACACGTTTTTTGGAATCCGCAATTTGCAAACCTTGCTACTAGATAACAATGATATTGACGATATAGAGCCAAATGCATTCGCCGGACTTCATCTGCTACAAACCCTTTGGCTCGACTACAATCACATTCACATGTTGGACTTGCAATCCTTTGTGGGTTTGTGGAATTTATCCACACTCTCATTAAGCAACAATAATTTGACATATTTTCGTGCGGGTACATTTTCGCATTTACCCAAGCTGTCGGTACTAGACATATCCAATAACAAGCTTTCGAAGCTGAACGACGTTGCCCTCTATCCGTTAAGAAGCCTCACACATCTAAGTTTGGAGGAAAACATGTTGGTCACCTTAGACTACGACTCACTGTTGAGCCATCACGCATTTCTCTCCACCATCAACTTGAACAATAACCAGTGGCTGTGCTCCAAACTGACAAAGATACTTAAGGCGTTCAGAAACAGAAACGTTCACTACTCGCCAGGAAACGTACAAGACTTTTCACTTGAAAACATCGAGTGGATTAGATGCTACGATTCGGAAAGGGACGTAGGCCTTGAGGAAGGGGCCATTCCGGATTGGCTTTCCGCCAACTCGACCTTAGAAGTAACCCTCATCAAACAGTTTAACATCGTACGGAACGCAATTTACAAAAGCACAACCGACATGCGAGCATTCTTCGGCGCATGGTTTAATCAGATAAACGCATCCCTCGCTCGTGACACCCATGTAGAGGAAAGTTTGTACGCCATTCAGAAGGAGAATAACGCACTCCTTTCACTGTACCTCAATAGTACAAGATTAGATTTAAAACCTGTAGAGCCAGTAGCACTGACGGGGTTGCGCGAAGGGAGCAGTGGCTGGAGTACTGGTGTGCTTACTCTCTTTGGGGTTGCCATTACGGTTCTATTAGGTGCCCTGCTGTGTGTGCTCTACAAGAATTTCAAGCTGGCCAGTAGGAATAACCAGCGATCGCAGTTTGAATTGTTGCAAACGCACGAAAGATACATTGGGGAACCTAGTTCGCTGTAAAAATATGCATCTAATTATATTGTTTAATCCTATATATATATATATAATTGTCTTGTTTTATAATGCCAGTTCCTAAGTTTCTAATAGCCACCTTCTCGCCACTTTACGAAATCCCGAAGGTGCATTGGGGGTTAAAACTGCCACGGATGCGCCGCCTCACATCACCACGTTACAAAAAATGTGAGCTAAAGAAGTTTGAACTTTATAATTCATTATACGTATTCAAGGTAGAAACAAACCTTTTCAGGAGCGCCCATCTGTCTGTCCCTCTTCCTCTCTTCTTCCGATTCGGGTATAAAAAATAAAAGCAAATCCTGATCCTCAGCACGCAACTGCTTAGTATGGTGGCAGCTAACCATGACCAAAGTTGGCATAATCATCATGGCTCCAGCGACTCCCAGAGAGTCTCTGTACGTTACCTATCTGCTTCCTGCAAGTTGCCATGCGCATGGCAGGTTACCATACACGTCAAGAGAATAAAATGTCCGAGGAGGTGATTGTAATTTAGATTTAAAGTTTTAGTGAGGTTAGGTTAGAGTGGTAGTTAGGTTAGGTAAGAAATTTTGTATCAGGAGAATATAATGTGCGGGGAGATTGAAGGTTAGGGTAAAATATTAGTGAGGTTAGGTTAGAGTGATAGTTAGTTTACCTAGGTGACCTAACCCAACTATCACTCTAACCTAACCTCACTACTATTTTAACCTAACCTTCAAGGCCCTCGCATATTATATTCTCCTAATACCAGATTTCTTACCTAACCTAACGAACACCCTAACCTAACCTCACTCATACTTTCTCCAAACTTTTGATCACCTCTAGGATCACCTCCTCTCGCATTATGTTCTCCTGCCACAAGATTTGTCACCTAACCTAACTAGTATACTCTAACCTAACCTCACTAATAACCAAACCGTGAATTACCTCGTGCGAAAACAACCATTCCCTTTAGTGGTTTGTAATGTACTTAACCCCCAGGTTCTACGCTAACTTCACACTACAAGAAGACGGAAATAAAGTCAACCCGGCAACGTTTAAAAATGGCCACCCGAATGACTATTTCCTCCAAAACTAAATAAGATCCCGCTTAAATTTGAAAAGTGGCACGTGATCAAACATCTAAGGCAGGGCCCTCTTACGTTAGGTCTAACAACACTTTGACCTGAAGCACAGTAGGGAAGGAACGTAAAATAAAACACTCAAATTGTGAAAAGTTTGTTTAATAATGATCGCAATTATTAAGATTGTGAAAGCACGGAAATTTAAGTCGAAATAAATTACGTTGCAAAAATAAACTTTGAAAATGGTAATTCACCGAATAAAAATAGAAATAGGCTAGGGAAAAAAAGAACTTACCAATAAAAAAACCAGCCGTCAAATTAATATCAAATTGTGTTGTAAAATTAATTGTTTGTAATGCTGTGAATGCGTAACATAAAATTATAACATCACAAAAAGTAGCAGGTAGACTTCAAGAGGTAACATTATATAGGTTAAAAATAAGTTTTGAGAATTATGGGTCAGGTAAGCAGGTACCAAGATTCTAAGAAAGGGTGAAATACACAGGATGTGACTCATCTTTGGCAAGCATTACACCAAAAACGTAAACAATTACAAACAATAGCATAACGGTATTTAACATGTCATTCTGCATTGCGATTAAAACAAGTACATTTCAAAAACAAAGATTCAAACACACAAAAAATATAAAATGTGGCATACAAAACACAACTACGATATAAAGAATTGCAAAAATTACTACCTGCATTAAATAACACAAAATAACAACAAACTGCAGGAAAACCTAATCCGGAGTAGCCGGCAGAATGCTCGAAACTGGTCTAAGGTACTCTGCCACAGATGAAAAATTCACCTCAACCCAGTTTCGAACACCCGACCTCCAGATTTATAGCCAGCCGAAGGAAGGACCACCCCTCCATCTCATCCACGACTGCATTCAATGCAGCCATAATTACCTTCCACTGGGGCTTAGTGAGAGCCCGGACTGTTGGTCCTCCCCTGATGAGGAGCCAATAAAGGTTTTGTTTGGTTTGAAATTGTGTTGCAGCAAACCACGTCTGATTATTGTGTCTAGCGCGCTTAATTGGCATGAGTTTTAAAGCTCTAGATTTCCCTGGATTAAGAATAATTGATTAAACAAATTGAATACCGATCCGATTGCCATTCGTGAACGTCTAAGTGAGTGAAGAAGTAAAGCGTCCTTAACAGTATACCGGGTGACCATTTACTTCTTGTGTTGTCAGAATTACTTACTGGTTTGGCTCTTCAATGGTACCAAAATAACCTTCTCCGATGGCATAAGTAAAGTTGCATGCAAAGGAGAGATAAAAAAGTTAACGTCACGTAGCGGGACTCGGGAGGCACACCAAAAATTTGTGAGGATAGGCAACACACCATACATCGCAGTATGCAACCGTGCCGACAGCAGAAAGTGAGAGAGCAGCGTAATAATCAAGGAATAGGGGTAAGAGAAGCCAGGGAATCCACAAGAACTAAAGTCAACAAGCGAAAGGGGATTCGAAAACACGAGTCAATAGCACAGGAAATCTCAGAGAATTTTTAACAAAGAAACGAGGAAGAGAAGAAGAGGAAGAAGCAGGAAACAGTTAGAAGCCGAACTACAAAAAAAACCAGCAAAATCTACCTATTACCGCCCACAACAAAGACAGAAGAGAAAGAAAAAAAAAGGAGAAAACCCACAAAACATGGAGGAAATAAAAAACATGATAACCCTTAACAAGAGTATGATGGAAATGAAAAATGACGTCAGAAAAGGAAAAACGGAAATGAGAGAAGAGTTTAAAAAGGAAATACAGGAACTGAAGAGGCAAAATCAAGAGATGGAAGAAAAATAGAACAAAGAAAAAGGAGAACTTGATGAGAGAATAGATAAACTAGAATGGAGCATGGAAAAAGAGGAAAGGATGAAGAAAAAAATTACGGGGGGGGGGGGGGAGGTCACAAACAATTAACAAAGGAACAACAAGTGACAACAAAAAGAAACAAAAAAAAGAAGAAAAAACGAAAAAAGAAAATATGACAAAAAAGGAAACATCAAAATTGGATTCTGGAACGTGGCGAAAATCAGCAACAAGGATGAAGCATTTTGGGAGTACCTGAAAACTTATAATGTAATCAGCATGACAGAAGTATGCGTAGAAGAAAAATATTGGGAAAATTGGGAGAAAAAACTACCAAAAGATTTTGAATGGGAATATCAGAAGGGAAAACAAGAAAGGAAGAGCCAAAGGAGAAATATTAACAGGTGTAAGAAAAACGATAAAAACTGAAAAAACGATGCAGAAAAACGAAAATGGAATACAAGAAAGAAAAATGATACTAAAAGATGTATGATGGAGAGTGTTTACATTATATCGGGCGATCAAAAATGATTGGCTGTCGAGTCGCCTTTGCAAGTTCAAGTTAAATACGATTTCCCATGTAAACAAAAATTTCAAAGGCGACTAGACAGCCAATCATTTTTGATCGCATGTTACAATCACATGAATATGAAAGGGGTCGTGAACGACCTGGACAACATAATAGAAAAATCGGAAGATGACGTTATAATAATAGGAGGGGATCTAAACGCGCGGATTGGCAAGGGAGGGTCATGGATCGCTCGCACAGAAGAAGAAGACAACAAAAGAAAATCAAAATATAACGTTACAAATAATGAAGGGAAAGAATTGATTAACTTCGTAGAAGAAAAAGGGTGGTTCATCCCCAACGGAAACGTGAAAGGAGACGAAGAGAGAGAATATACATACATAGGAAGCAGAGGGCAGTCGGTAATAGACTATATTATTCTAAATGAAAAAGGGAAGGAAAACTTAAAAAATTTTCAAGTAGACCATAGAAGAGAATCCGATCACTAACCAATACCCACAACGATGAAAGGCGGTGCTCACACATAATACAGGAAACAAACAAAAGGAATTACAAAAACCAGACAAATTTGGACAGAACGAACAATAGAAAAATACAGAAAACATCTAAAGCAGATGGAATTCAATGAAACTTAAAGTGATGCTGCACTAGAAGAAAGCAAAAAGGCAATAACTAAAGCGGTGACAGAAAAAAAACCTCAAAAATAAACAACTGGACACCAGGAAGAAGCAAGTGGTGGGACACAGAATGTAAAGAGAAAAAACAAATTACAAAAAAGCGCTAATGGATTGGAAAACAGGAAAAGACACATGCGAAGAGTACATAACAAAGAAGAAAGAATATAAGGATACATGTAAACGCAAAAGAGATGGGTTACAAAAAGAGGAAATAAGGGAAATACAAAGGATCAAAAACGAAAATGAAGTGTGGAAATTTATAAACAAAGGGAGGAAAAATAAAGAAGGAATACCGGACGACATTGGAGAAGAGGAAGAGAAAAACAGGATGAAGAAATAGGGGAAGAAGAAATGGAAGCAGAGATACCAAAAATCAAAAAAAAATAAAGCTCCTGGACCAGACCAAATAACCATGAGATGATAATAAATGCGCTGGAAAAGGTGAAACAGCAAATCAGAAAAATTACTGACAGAGTATGGAGAGGCGGAGGATTTCCGGAAAGTTAGAAAGAAGGTGAAATATGCCTAATACACAAAAAAGAAACAAGGATGACATCAAAAACTATAGGGGAATCACACTCCTACTCAACATACAAATTTTACGCTAAAATACTAAACGCTTAAATGAAGAAGTAGAGGACAAAGAAATACTAGATGAAACACAAATGGTTTTTACGAAGGGAAGGGGGACGATAGATAACATATACATAATAAATCACGCAGTACAACAAGAACTGGAAAAGAAAGGAGGTAAAGTCTACGCCCTATTCATAGATCTAAAGGCAGCATTCGATAATCTAGACAGGCGAACGAATTATATAAGAGCTTGGAAAAGAAAAATATCGACAGCAACACAATAGAAAGGATTAAAGAATCTATAGAGAAACAAAGAGTAAAGTTAAAGCCAATAACAAC